TTGCAGCCCCTGTGGCAGTGGATTGCCATGGGCTACCATGTGTAGCCAGCAGCCAGCGTGAGCGGCTGTCCAGAAGCCGGCGACTGATCTGCCTCTCCCAGGAAGAGCGCAGTGATGGTGCCAACTGGGCCAGTGAAGCAACATCCTCCACAACTAGACTGAAGAACAAAAGGACAGCAACTTCTCTGTTCCCCTTCCCCCAATTCCCCAATAAAAATCTTTAAAAAAAAAAATTATAAACGAAAATGGAGACATTATAATAAATACAAAGGATCATAAGAGACTATGATGAACAATTATATACCAACAAATTGGAAAACCTAGAAGAAATGGATACATTTCTAAAAACATAACAACCTACCAAGACTGAATTATGAAGAAATAGAAAATCTGAACAGATCAATAATGAATAAAGAGGCTGAATCAGTAATAAAAAACCTCTTACCCTCTGCCCCCCCAAAAAAGTCCAGGACCAGATGTTTTTACAGGTAAAATTTACCAGAGAGTTAAAGCGAATTCTTCACATTCTTCAAAAAAAAAATAAAGAGAAGGAAACACTCTCAAACTCATTTTATGAAGCCAGCATTTCCCTGATATTAAAGCCAGATAAGGACAACCAAGAAAAGAAAACTACAAGCAATATCCCCAATGAATATAAATGCAGAAATCCTCAATAAAGCACTAGAAAACCAAATTCAACATCACATTAAAAGGATCATACACCATGGTCAAGTTGGATTCATCCCTGGGATGCAAGAATGCTTCAATACATCAAATCAATAAATGTGATACATTACATTATTAGAATGAAAGATAAAAATCATATGAGCATCTCAATGGATGCAGAAAAGGCATTTGACAAAATTTAAATGGCAAAAACTCTCAACAAATTAGGTTATAGAAGAAATATACCTCAACATAAAAAGAACAAATAAGACAGGCTCACAGCTAAAATCATACTCAATGGTCAAAGTTTGAAAAATTTTCCTCTAAAATTGAAAACAAGACAAAGGTACCCACTCTCACCAATCCTAATCAGTGTAGTACTAGAAGTCCTAGCCAGAACAATCAACCAAGAAAAAGACATAAGTGGCATCTAAATCAGAAAGAAAGATGTGAAATTGTCTCTGTTTGCAGATGACATGATAATAAAACTTTGAGAACCAATAAACAAATTCAGTAAAGTAGGATACAAGTTCAGTGTACAAAAATCAGTTGCATTTTTATACACTAACAATGAATTATCTGAAAAAAACAAAGAAAACAATTCCATTTACAATAGCATCAAAAACAATAAAATACTTAGAAATAAATTTAACCAACGAAGTGCAAGATTTATACACTGAAAACTATAAGACATTGAGGAAAGTCATTGAAGGAGACACAAATAAATGGAAAGAAATCTTGGGCCGGCTGAGTGGTGCGATGGTTAAGAACTGGCTTGGGACGCCAGAGGGCCCTGATTCGGATCCCACATATGAGGGCCAGTGACACTGCCCTCCACAGCTAAGATGCTGAACAGCAGCTCATCCTGGAGCTGGGCTGCCGTGAGTCGCCGGCTACAGCATAGGCTGCAGCCCCTGTGGCAGTGGGTTGCCATGGGCTACAATGTTTAGCCAGAAGCCAGCGTGAGCGACCAGCAGCCGCAGTGAGCGGCCGTCCAGAAGCCGGCAACTGATCTGCCTCACCCGTGAAGAGCACAATGATGGTGCCAACTTGGGCCAGTGAAGCGATGTCCTCCACAACTAGACTGAAGAACAAAAACGACAGCAACTTGTCTGTTCCCCTTCCCCCAATTCCCCAGCACTGTTCCCATCCCCCAATTCCCCAATTTAAAAAAAATAAAATAGAAATGGAAAGAAATCTCATGTTCATGGATTGGAAGAATTAATATTGTTAAAATGCACATATAACCAAAGCCGTCCAGAGATTCAGTGCAACCCCTTTCAAGATTCCAATAGCACTTTTTACAGAAATAGAACAAATAATCCTAAAATTCATTATGGAACCACAGAAGACCCCAAATAGCCACAGCAATCCTAAGAAAGAAAAATAAAGCCTGATTTTTAAACTATGTTGCAAAACTATAGTAATCAGAACAGTATGGTACTGGCATAAAGCCAGACATGTACACCAATGGAACACAATCAAAAGCTCAGAAATAAATCCATGCATATACAGTCAACCAATATTTGACCAAAGAGCCAAGAATACTCAGTGGGGAAAGGATAATTTCTTCAAAAATGATGTTAGGAAAACTGGATATTCAAATGGAAAAGGATGAAACTGGACCCCTATCTTACATCACTCACAAAAATCAACCCGAAATGGATTACTTAAATTAAAGACCTGAAACCATAAAACTCCTAGAAGAAAACACAGGGAAAAAGCTCCTTGACATTGGTCTTGTCAATAATTTTCTAGATACGAAACCAAAAGCACAGCACACAAAAAAAGTAAATAAATAGGACTAAAATTTTAAAAAGCTACTAAAAGTTTCTGCTGCACAAAAATAATGATCAACCAAATGAAAAGGCAACATACAGAATAGAAGAAAATATTTGAAAACCACATATCTGATAAGAGGTTAATTTAAAAATATATAAGGCACTCATATAACTCAATAAAATAATATCATCATCACCCAATTAAAAATGGGCAAAAGACCTGAATAGACATTTTTCCAAAGAAGGTATTCAAATTGTCAACAGGTGTATAAAAAGATGCTCAACATCACGGATTGTGGAAATGCAAATCAAAACCACAATGAGATATCACTTTTTAGAATGGCTACCAAAAAGAAAAGATATAATAAGTACTGGCAAGATGTGAAGAAAAGGGAACCTTGAGCCCTGCTGGTGGGAATGTAAATTGGTCTATCCACTGTGGAAGCCATTATAGAGGTTCCTCACAAAAAAATTAAAGAACTGTTATATTATCCAGCAATTCCACTTCTGAGTATATATCCTAAGGAAGTGAAATCACAATCTTGAAGAGGTATCTCCACTCCCATGTTTATTGCAGCCTTATTTACAATAGGAAACAACCTAAGTATCCATCAATGGATAGATACAAATGAAAGAAAATGTAATTAGATAGATAGATAGATAGATAGATAGATAGATAGATAGATAGATAGATAGATAGATAGATAGATAGATAGACAGACAGATAGACAGACAATGCAGTATTTTTCAGCCATAAAACAGAAGGAAATAATGTCACTTCTGACAATATGATAAACCTTGAGGCCATGCTAACAGAAACATCAGACAAAGAAAGTGAAATACTATATAATCTCATTTAGATGTGAAATCTAAAAAAAAAAAAAATCCCATAGAACAGAGAATAGATTAGAGGTGAGGGGGGTAGAGTGGGGGTTGATGAAGGTGGTTGAAGGTTACAAACTTCCAGTTATAAGATGAATAAGTTCTGGAGATGTAATATACAGCATGGTGACTGTAGTTAACAATACTGTGTAGTATATTTGAAAGTTGCTAAGGAGTAAATCTTAAAAGTTCTTAACACACATTCACATTGTAACTGAGGTGATGCATGTCAACTAAACTACTGTGGTTATCATTTCACAATATATACATATATCAAATTATCACATTGTAACCTTCAACTTACACAGTGTTACATGTCAGTTATATCTCAATAAAGCTGGAAAAAACCTTTTCAGTACTTGGGGAAAATTAAATTAAATTACTATAACCCTTTTAAATGAATGGATTATGTTCATATATCTAACACTTCTCCCAAATGTATATCCTTATACAAGATTCACTTTAAAACCTAAAATTTACTTGGTTATCTCATTCACAGAAGTGTTTGTCTTTATCTTAAGCAAATATTGAGTTCAGTTTCTGTAATATTTTATAGTTTTTAGACCAGAAATTTCCATGATAACTTTCACATAACTGAAAGAAGTTATGCAAGAGATTTGAAAGGACTGTTTAGTGAAATAAAAATATTTTGACAGAATTTATATTTTTGTGTCTAGTTTATAAAATCTCTAAAAATTAATCAAAAGCACTATTATTACGCTCAACAGTAGGCTAATGTTTGTACAGAAGGCATTGGGACATAATATTAAGGAGAAAAATAGGAGGAAGAATCTGTGCATACATACAAGAATATAAACCCCAGCTATCTGAATAAGTTGAGGAATTATTAGAGCAAGAGAAAAGCTAGGCAAATTCAACAAATGTATCAAAGTAAAGGAAAATATGTTAAGAGCCTTGGTAAATAGGGAAAACAAACTAAAAAGGTACTTGTAAGCTTCACTTTTAATAATTGTATACTTTGAGTCAATTGAGTTAAAATGCAATAGAAAAAAATAATATACATTTTGCACTTATATTCTTTGCAGTTAATTGAACTCTGGAAAGATTCAATGATTTGTTTACCATCATAATCTTTCTATTTCTGTCCTACATTTAAAATTGCTCACTGCGGTAGCTGCTAATGATAACTATGTCATCATACATAACAGAGAACCTAAGTCCCTTAAACCGTCCTATCTTTTAATGATGGTGGAATTAACTATTTAAAACAGTTTTCAGATCTCTGAAGATCAAATCCCAGTTCTTGAATGCCAGCTTTTAAGAGAAGCACATGTTTTCCTTTGATTGATGATTGATTATTGATTGATTGATCGATCAATGGATTGGAATGGAAGTGATATACTGTGAAGCAGAGTCTGGGGCAAGATTTATTTTTCTGTCACTAGTTTTATTAATATAGTTAATTAGTCTATTTCACTTGTTCAGTTTGTATTTTGGCATTGCTCACATCGCTGAAATATTTCTGGATTCATTTTCTCATACTTTTGAGTTTGCCATATTTCATCAATGAAGCTGATGAAACCTCAGGTATGGACGGAATGAAATATTTGTTGAGGTTTTTGCCTAACCATTTGTCGGTCAACAGATACTGGTGCAGCTCCTCCCATCTGTTTACAAGTATTTGAATAAAGCATGTCTCGTTCCCCGCAGGAGCTTCAGAGAGACATAGAGAAACACAGCACAGGTGTGGCCTCTGTCCTCAACCTGTGTGAGGTCCTACTGCACGATTGTGATGCTTGTGCCACGGACGCTGAGTGTGACTCCATCCAGCAGGCTACGCGAAACCTGGACCGGCGATGGAGGAATATCTGCGCTATGTCCATGGAAAGAAGGCTCAAGTAAGCTGGGATGTTCAAACATTTGGGAAAGAGGGAGGACCAAAAAGAAAACAAAACAAAACAAAAAACATACCCAGAGTATTCATTGTTCGCAATTTCCTTTTGGTTGCAGTGTCCAAAAATAGCCTTGATTTCCCGAACTTGTCGTCTACATTTAGTTGGGAAAATAAGTAGGTATAAAGATAATATATAAATATAACAAGGCAAGCTATGCCTGACCTAACAGTTTAAATATAATTCAGAAAAATACGCCTTTGCTGAACAAGTGTAATGTTACAAAATTGGTGGTTGAAAAGTAACATACTTTTATTAAAAATTAAAAAAAATAAATCAAAGGGCTTATCTGTAAGCCCTTTGAAATTCAAGGCTGTCAGAAATCACAATTATCATAATGATTTAAGGCACATAATCTCTGTGCTTCTCCGGGGAGCTCTTGAAAGATGAGTATTTGTCTTGCTGTCATGTGTTGATTTTGATAAGGGTGAATTTGATGTTGGAATAAAATGGATTTTCACACCTTGTTTGATTTCAGCAAAACTTTGACATGAGTGTGCACTGCAAACATGGTGTTGCACTTCTAAACTTCCCTCGTATGCAGAACAGTTCATGTTAGTGCTTATGACGCTCAATTTTAGTAATTCCAAATCCAGAGCTGCAGGATGTGGGGAAAAAAAAGAAAAGAAAAGAAAAACCCACAGCTGTTTCATTTTAGCTCAAACAGTTGTCTCTTTTTCACACTAGCCAAACTTGGCTCAAGGCACCATTATTGTTTGGCACAACAGTTGCTTGTTTGGGCACTCGTAATCCTGTTGCAGGCATCACACAGGGTTCTGAGCATAAAAGGTCTCCAACGATCAGATTCTGTTCTTTCCTTTTCTGTCTCAGAATTGAAGAGACTTGGAGACTGTGGCAGAAGTTTCTGGATGACTACTCCCGATTTGAAGATTGGCTCAAGATTTCAGAAAGGACAGCTGCCTTCCCCAGCTCTTCTGGGGTGCTCTATACAGTTGCCAAGGATGAACTAAAGAAATTTGAGGTGATTTATAATTCCAAATATTTAATCTTTATTTTGCTATGAGAGTAGCCAGCTAGTAGTTGGTGTCCCAAGACATAAACTAACTGTTCACCCACACATGTTTTCGTTCAAGTAGCTGGGTGATGACTTCGTGGTCATCTTTATTAATACCTCATTAAGTAGGCAAAGAAGTGAAGAAAGGAGGTTCTTGTTTTAAGATTATCAAGAATTACAAATACAGCACAAAATAATGAAGAGGAATTCTATTAGAAAACAAGACCCGGGATTTCCCAGAAAAGATCTTGGCATTTTTTTTAATTTCACATTTCTTCACAATCAACCCTCTAAGATTAAATAAAATATGATGATTTTCCATACTATAAAAATCTATCTTCCAAATATATTTTCTTGATTTATTTTTACCTACTTGGAATGAAGATAGATAAATTTTTTAAATTATCGATAAAGTAGTTAGCTCCAGAATTGAATAAAATGTTTTAATCATAAGCCATTTCCAATTATACATGAAGAGCCGTGCCATTCTTGGGTCATGAAGTCTTTTCCGTTTCATAGAGACAATAATCGCAGCAGTATAATCATACTCCTAAGGGCAGGAATCGTTCAATAACTGATTCCACCAGTTCCTTGCCTGGTGATGCCATCTCGAGCCTGCCCTGTCACTCTGTTAGGATAAAACCTCCACTGCTGCCTCTCATTTTCACAGAGGACCTGACATAGCCTAAAGTTGCCTGTTTTTTAATTTGAAGTTTCTTTTCCCATCATTTCCCACTAATAGGCAGACAGGTGTACTTGTACACATTGACAGCACGCAATTCTGATGCATGTATTCCAAAAATCATTCTTGGTTACTCATTCTGCTCCAAGCTCCCTGAGATTTTAAAAATAAGACTAAACATTCACCCAAGTCCAGTGGCATTCATTTTTGTTACCATGCACCATCAGTTAACTAGACACTTATTGAGGCCTGTAAATACGAAGTTTGGTTTTTCTTCTTGTGGGCTTTAAAATCTAAGAGTCATAGATGGGCAGCTGTATGAATTTATAAAAATGTTTAAAAGCTATGGAGATAACTGAGAGTTATTCTGACATCTGAATATGGATTTATATGTAAGTATACCACTAAATTCTAGGGGAAAAAAATGTTTCCTATCTATAAGTCTATTCCTTAGGAAACTTCTCGTTTAAACCACAATAACTCTGCAGCAGAGAGCAGGCCACCTCGGTGTGAGCCAATGCCAATGAAATGTCCCTGCATTGCATCTTAGTGTCCTCAGCTTCCAAAGGTTAAAACCTTCTATAATTGGCTTATGCTACAAAGCATTATGTAAGATCCTTTTTGATGCTATTTTCGGCTCAGATTTTCTAGTAAAGTTTAGCCATATACTTAGCTCCTATAATGAGTGATTTTACCATATGTCTTGTAGTTAATTTTCTTACGGGACAGGAATAAATCACAAAAACAAAATTTGGTTTGAGGGCAGCCTTTGCCTGTCCCACTGCATGAGTATTGGGACAGATTTGGGTGTGCTGTGCCACCCACCTGCGGTGCCTGCCATCTCGCCAGTGGACAAACGTAGTCTGTAACTTCCAGTAATGGCAAAAGCTGAACTTGCCTTACCATTTCATTTTTTGGGGAAATAATTCAAAGTTTTATAGAACAGAAGATTGAATTTAGTAGGATGGAGGCTCTTAAAGCACCTCTCAGAAGGAGGAGCATCTCAGGCAGAGCTGAGGCAGCGTCTGAACAGTGAGACGAGCCGAAGGAAGCGGACCTTTGGGATTTGGACAAGCGCAGTCCGACTAATGGTACAATTTTCTGTCTAAGGCCAAGATGATACCCAGTCATAAGTCACATACACAAGTTTGAAAAAAAAATGCTTCATTTTATTTTGGCCAAATGATTCTTGTGCTAGATCTATACTATATTGCAAAGAAAAAGAAGTCATTTACCTTTAGAAACTCTAAACAGTGTATAGGGTAACCTCAAAGTAAATTGATACTGCTTTGTAACATCCTCTGTCAGCTGTAACATGTTTTATAAAAACTGAGTAACTCATGGGAGCACCCCCTCTCCCCCCCACAAAAAAAAAAGCATGTTCCAAACTTTTTTCTAGGTAAGGTTACTTGTATTTTACTAATTTGCTTTTTTTGGAAGTTCCTAATAGCTTGCATTTAAAGGACTTTCTGCAAAATATATTTTTTAATTTTTTTTAATGGACACCAGCATTGGGGCAGTTTCTGGATTTTTTAGGACAGTACATATTTTACAAATAAAGAGACAATTCTGTAGATATCTTTTCTTTTCTCAATATTGATATCGGAAATTTTGAACATTTCAAACTCACATTGACATCGAAAATTTTGAACATTTCAAATTCATATTTCAGCACACGTAAATATTTTTGTAATCACTTTGTTTTATGTGAAAAAAAATTTCTGTCTGTTAAGCATCTTAAAAGCTATGTTTTATATATATATATATATATATATGTAAATTCTATGTATAAATGTATATTTTATGTGTATATGTTATATACATAGGTATTTGTATATATACAAATATTTATAGTATTAGTGTTTACTGTTTTCTTCTATATTTTTGTTTGATCTGCTCCCATTCCTTAAGCCACACTGATTGCTTTGCTTTAACAAGGGGAAGTCTCTTAGAAGCTGTCCCTTCCCTGTTGGTGACAGTGTGGCTTTACACTCTCCCTGACACTGCAGCATGCAGCCCAGGCACCCTTGATGAGAGCCCTTCCGTGATCCCCTTCACCAGTATGCTTCTGTGTGGTCCTAGGCTTTCCAGCGACAGGTGCACGAGAGCCTGACCCAGCTGGAACTGATCAACAAGCAGTACCGCCGCCTGGCCAGAGAGAACCGCACCGACTCTGCCTGTAGCCTAAAGCAGATGGTTCACGAAGGCAACCAGAGATGGGACAACCTGCAAAAGCGCGTCACCTCCATCTTGCGCAGGCTCAAGGTCTTTCTTATGTTTCCTCCGATGCTTAGGGGCCCAGAGGACAGGATGGAGCCATTTGAACACAATGCTAAGACCTGATCTCTGTGATGTTCTAAGATTGGGATGGCAAGAGGGGTACTCCAGGGTCAATTTATACAGTAATGGGTTGCAGGGCTCTCATTGCTTGTAGAGAAAATGACTTTCCAGATTGGCGGTGCCATCTCAGTCTGTGCATGTGGGATTTTTTATTTAATTTTTATTATTTTCTTTTCACATCTAGCATTTCATTGGCCAGCGTGAGGAGTTTGAGACGGCACGGGACTACATTCTGGTGTGGCTGACAGAAATGGATTTGCAGCTCACTAATATTGAGCATTTTTCCGAGTGTGATGTTCAAGCTAAAATAAAGCAACTCAAGGTAATTAATGAATGATTCTTCAAATTATCAGTGTGAAGCAAGTCTGAAGAAGAAGGGATTTGTAGGTCTTTTTGTGAAGAACATAGTAAAAGAACTCTTTAAAAAAAATTAGTTCTTCTTGATTGAAAACAAATTTCAAAAAATACAAAAGATATTAAAAATGAAATAAAGGGCACTACCCACAGATAACTACCATTAACATATATATGTATATTTTTAATTATTAAATTGATAGCCAGGGTTTTAGGGGTCTTCCTTTTTGGTTGTTGTTTTTGGTAGGTTGTTTTTGGTGTTTTTTTTCTGATTTGTTTCTAGCATCAAATAGTTTATTGGACCTCCATGTTCCAGAGAAATACAACTTACTCATGTTGAGATTTCATTCTACATTCTTAGGTGCCTAAAATGAATTAAACATATTTTGTATGTTTCATTCTATGATGCAACCATAGTGACTGGTTAGAAATCTAAACAGAAGGGATATACAGTACATTAGATAGAAGGAGTCTCTAAATAGAAGCATGTTTAACAGCTTGAATAATTTGCAAGGCAGCTTATGAAATTTTCTTCCCAAGATAGGTAGATTGACTTAGAAAAAAAAATCATGATGCCCATAACCGTAGGTTGTTATAGGTTATTATGTAATTATTAGGTTATTGTTAGGTTAGTATTTTAAATCAAAAAACGTTACCCTTAATCCTAAATTCTCGGGATGAAAAAAAGTCATAAAACACTTAACCTAGTATTCTGCCCAACCCTTCTCTCCACATCACCCCTGAACCCTGACTCACCCAAGATGTTTCACAGGCAAATCAATATATGTAAAACTTTTGGCAGGAAATTTCTACTAAGTTGAATCCTTTCTTTTTGGACTCTGGCAGGGTCTTAGAACTTACTACTGCCTCCTCTTCTCCCCTCCCAGTCTTTTCATTATAGGACAATTTCGACTATTCCAGAGTTTCTTCTTATATCAAATTAAAATTGATCCCCTGAAACTTGTCTCCAGTAGCTTAACTTCTTTAAACTATGTAGAACTAGTCTGAATGATCCTCCAGAATTTCTTATTTTCAAATCACATTAATCTTTCCTGCTTATGTTTCAAAACAATAAAAGAATCACCTGAGAAGAATTTATGACCTTGTCATTTGCTTGGTATAATGTATGATCAAGAAATCAAAAAAAATATTCAACATAGTCTTTCAAGTGCTAAATTTATTTTAGCGGCACTGTAATGATTACAGTTGCTTTTCATCAGGGGTGACCAGTGCAATCAACTTTATGATGGGTTTGAAAGTTTCTTCCTGTGATTTTCTACCCATACTGACCATGGTAGTAAGTTTTATTAGCCAAAGTCACCTTTCCGGTATGGAATTCTAACACTTCCATTTCCAACTCCTGATTGAAAATTTTCGTATTTTACTTAATAAAGCAATAACTTCTCGGCCTGTCATTGTAAATGGTAAATTCAATATCCCCTACATGGTTTCCCTAAATATGTATCTCATAATTATTCCATGTCAATGTGAGCACTAAAAATGATGTGAGACTTGTGTTCCCTAGGCCTTCCAGCAGGAAATTTCCTTGAACCACAATAAGATCGAGCAGATAATCGCCCAAGGAGAGCAGCTGATAGAAAAGAGTGAGCCTTTGGACGCAACTATCATTGAGGAAGAGCTGGATGACCTCCGGCGCTACTGCCAGGAGGTCTTCGGGCGCGTGGAGCGATACCACAAGAAGCTGATCCGCCTGCCCGTACGTGACCTTCAGTCTTTCTTGTCATTCAATCCAAAGAGGATTCATTATGTGGGGTTAGGTAGCCTTGTATGGTGGTGGGTAAGAGTGCAGACTCTGGAGTCGGAATGCCTGGGTTCCAGTCCTGCTCTGACACATGTTGCCTACGTAACCTCAGGCAAGTTATTTCACATCTCTTGCTTCGGTTTCCTCAACTGTAAAGCTGGTTCAATAACAGTAACTACCTTGTAGAAAAGGTTGTTTGAGGCATGAGATGAGCTCATATGTATATTGGACAATTTGGA